TCCAGTCTGAACATCTGGCTGTGCAATGATCAATAATAATAATAAAGTTGGAAGGGACCTTGGAGGTCTTCTAGTCCAACCCCCTGCTCAGGCAGGAACCCTACACCATTTAAGACAAATGGCTGTCCAGTCTCTTCTTAAAAACTTCCAGTGTTGGAGCATTCACCGCTTCTGGAGGCAGGTTGTTCCACTGGTTAATTCTTCTAACTGTCAGGAAGTTTCTCTTAGTTCTAGGTTATTTATTCTCGGATTAATCATAGTAAATATGTCATGCAAGACAGCTAGCAAGTAGCTGAGTGGGACCTCCTACTTTCCACTGAGCTAATTAGAAAAAAATTAGGTTACTGCCCGAAAAAAGGATTTCCAAAAGCATAATTTACGTAGCAGGGAATTATATTCTTTTTGAAACGATTAGGTTGAAATTGGAAGACATGTTTTGGTCCACATGGAAATATAAATCCATCACCTGCTTGTGACTCATTTATTTGTTTGCTGAATTTAGAGAGTGCTGCAACTTGAAACTCAGGGTGCTTCCTAACACTTATAATGCATAGCAATAAAATGGCTGTGGCAAATTATATTCAAAGGAAGCTGAATTAAAATTTAAAGCACACAACACTGACACAATTAGTCCGTCAAGAATAAATTGGTTTTAAGGAATTCCTGGAAGGTTAGTTGATGGAGTTGATTGAAGAGGTACGTGGTCTTCGGTGCTCTCTGAGCTTGGTTGTTTCCTTGCAGACATTTCATAACCCAAGTAGGTAACATCTTCAGTGCTAGAAGGGAATGGGATTTGTGGAATGGAAGAACGGGGAGGAGAGGGAGCAGGAGGAGGACTGTGGGGTCTTGATGCTCTCTGTAGATGTTTCATGACCCAACTAGGTAATATCATCAGTGCTAGAAGGGAATAGGGATTGTGGAGTGGAAGAAGGGGAGGAGGAGGAGGACTGAAGGGTCCTTGATGCTCTCAGATGTTTCATCATTCAACTAGGTAACATCATTAGTACAAGAAGGGAGGGAGGTTGCTCTCTGTATACAATCAGAATAGAGCTGGAAGGGACCTTGGAGGTCTCCTAGTCCAATCCCTTGCTCAAGCAGGAGACTCTATACCATTTCAGACAGGTGGCTGTCCAGTCTTTTCTTAAAAACCTCCCGTGATGAAGCACTCACAACTTGTGAAGGCAAGCTGTTCCACCAGTTAATTGTCCTGTCAGGACGTTTCTCCATAGTTCTAGGTTGTTTCTCTCCTTTATTAGTTTCTATCCATTGTTTCTTGTCTTGCCTTCTGGTGCTTTGGAAGATAAGTTGACCCCCTCTTCTTTGTGGCAGCCCGTCAAATACTGGAATACTGCTATTGGGTCTCCCCTAGTCCTTCTTTTCTCTAGACTAGCCAAACCCAAATTCTTGGGTTCTTTATATGTTTTTGTCTCCAGGCCCTTAATCATCTTAGTTGCTCTTCTTTGCACTTTTTCCCAAAGTCTCAACATCTTTTTGTAATGTAGTGACCACAACTGGATGCAGTATTCCAAGTGTGGCCTTACTGAGGCAGTACTAATAATACTTCACGTAATTTTGATTCTATGCCTGTTTATACAACCAAGGATTGTATTAGCTTCTTTTGGCTGCCGCCACACACTGCTGACTCATGTGTGATCGTCCACTAGGACTCCAAGGTCCTTCTCACAGTTACTGGTTTTGAGTCAGTTTTTGCCTAACCTGTACTTGTATCTTTGGCTTTTCCTGCCTAGGTGTAAAACCTTGTTTTTTTCCACATTAAATTTCATTTTGTTAAATAGGGCCCATTTTTCAAGACTGTCAAGATGTTTTTGGATCCTGAGCTTGTCTTCTGGGGTGTTGGCTATTCCTGCCAGCTTAGTGTCATCTGCAGATTTGATGAGTTTCCCTTCTATTCCCTCATCTAAGTCATTGATGAAGATATTGAAGAGTACTGGGCCTAAGACGGAACCTTGTGGTACCCCACTGCTTACTTCCCTCCATGTAGATGTAGTAGTATTAAGGACGATTCGTTGAATACGGTTTGTTAGCCAGTTACAAATCTATTTGGTGGTGATGCTGTCTATCCCACATTTTTCTAGTTTACCAAGAATTAGGTTGTGGTTTACTTTGTCAAATGCCTTGCTGATGTTTAAGTATACCATGTCCACAGAATTTCGCTGGTGTACTAATTTTGTCAAAGAATGAAATAACATTGGTTTGGCACGATCTGTGCTGGCTACTAGTTATAACTTTATTTGTTTCTAGATGTTTGCAGATCTGTTTTGTATTTTTTCCAGTATCTTCCCAGGTATTGATGTCAGGTTGATTGGTCTGTAGTTTCCTGGGTCTGATTTTCCCCCCTTTTTTGAAGATGAGAACCACATCAGCTTCTACCAGCTCCTCTGGTAGTTTCCTAATGTTCCAGGATTTTTGAAAGATACAGTACAGTGATTCTGAGATAACATCTGCCAACCCCATGAGAACTTTGGGATGTTATCCATCAGGTCCCAGTGATTTATATTGAAGATCAGACAGGTATTCTCTTACCATTTTCTTGGTTATCTTAATTTTTATTTCTAGTCTGTCTTTTACAGTTATGTTTTTGGTAGGTTGGGCTATAGTTTATTTTTGCACGAAGATTGATGGAAAGAATGAGTTAAGCAGCTCTACTTTCTCTCTACTGCCTGTTACTTCCTTGCCATCTTTTCTCTTTGGTGGACCAATTGTTTCCTTCACTTTTTTCTTGTTATTTATATGTTTTTAAATTATCTTTGACATTTGTTGTCAATCTTTGTTCATTCTGAGACTTTGCTTTCCTGACTTCATCTTTGCAGATTCGGGCTATCTGCTGATATTCTGCCTTAGTTATGCGTCCCTCTTTCCCTTTTTTGTACTTATCCTTTTCGTCTTCCAGTTTATCAGAGAGCTCTTTGTGCAACCATGCTGTTTTTTTCTCGGATTTCTTGTTTTTCTACAAACGGCTTGTCAGTATTGATGGAAGTGTTCTTTGTGTTTCCTTGAATATGGTGCCATTTAATGCTTGATTGTTTGTCTGAGTTAGTCATTCCTTGATGGGTTGTCATTTACTGCTTGATTGTTGATTTGTTGGTATTAAACCTGATGTTAATCCCTGATTAGCTGACAGTTGATTGTTGGCAAGAAGCTGTTTTGGTCTTTTTGTTTAAATTTGTTTAAATTTAAAAGGATTAGGAACCTCCACAACTCATCCTGTCCAACGTTTTGTTTGTTTGTTGGGTGCCTTCATGTCAGTTTTGACTCCTAGCAATTATCTGAACAAATCCCGTCAGTTTTCTTGGCAAGTTTTCAGAAGTGCTGTACCCCAGCTTTCTTCTTCCATGGCTGAAAGTAATGGACTGGCACAAGATCACACAGTTAGCTTTGGGCCTCAGGTGGGATGCCAACCCCAATCTCCCTACTCTGAGTCCACTATTACAGGTGGTCCTTAATTTACAACCGTTCATTTAGTGACCGTTCAAAGTTACAACACTGAAAAAAGTGACTTATGACCATTTTTCACATTAACGACCGTTGCAGCATCCCCAGGGTCAAGTGACCAAAATGTGGATGCTGGGGATACTGCAACGTAAGTGTGAAAAATGGTAATAAATCACTTTTTCAGTGATGGTGTAAATTTGAATGGTCATTAAACAAAACAGTTGTAAATCAAGGACTACCTGTATATTAATATCTTTATATTAACCAATATAATGAATAAATATAATAAATATAATAAATATAATAATAATAATAATAGTAGTAGTAGTAGTAGTAGTAGTAATAATAATAATAATAATAATAATAATAATAATAATAATAAAGTTGGAAGGGACCTTGGAGGTCATTGAGTCCAACCCCCTGCTCAGGCAGGAACCCTACACCATTTCAGACAAATGGCTGTCCAGTCTTTTCTTAAAAACTTCCAGTGTTGGAGCATTCACCGCTTCTGGAGGCAGGTTGTTCCACTGGTTAATTGTTCTCACTGTCAGAAAGTTTCTCCTTAATTCTAGGTTGCTTCTCTCCTTGATTAGTTTCCATCCGTTGCTTCTTGTCCTGCCTTCAGGTGCTTTGGAGAATAGCTTGACTCCCTCTTCTTTGGGGCAGCCCCTGAGATATCAGAAAACCGCTATCATGTCCCCCCTCCTCCTTCTCTTCATTAAACTAGACATACCCAATTCCAGCAGCCGTTCCTTATATGCTTTAGCCTCCAGTCCCCTAATCATCTTTGTTGCTCTTCTCTGTACTCTTTCTAGTCTCAACATCTTTTTTACATCGTGGTGGCCAAAACTGGATGCAGTATTCCAAGTGTGGCCTTACCAAGGCATTGTAAAGCGGTATTAACATTTCATGTGATCTTGATTCTATCCCTCTGTTAATGCAGCCCAGCACTATGTTGGCCTTTTTGGCAGCTGCAGCACACTGCTGGCTCCTATTTTAAGTGATTGTCCATTGGGACTCTGAGGTCCCTCTCACAGTTGCTACTATTGAGCAAGGTAACCCCTATACTGTATATATACAATATACAATACAATAATAATTAATATTATTTTCAATCCCCAAACCCAACCAGTTTTTCCCCCAATCAGGGGAAAAAAGAAACCCCAAAGGAGTTTTCCCCAGCGCCTTGTAGAAAGGTTGGACCACATTTCCCATCATCCCCTGCGAGCGATGGGCGTTCCCCCGCCGGCAACGCCACTCCGGCTAAAGAACACGCCCCCTTCCTCCCCGGCTCTCCCAGCTCTTATTGGCCCCGTCCTTCCGCGTCGCGTGACCGAGGTGGTGACGCAGCGCGGCGCCGTTGGAAGGCGGAGGCGGAAGAGGCGGGGCGCGGTTGGAACGGAGAGACAAGATGGCGTCGCCCCATTACCGAGGCGCGTCTGGAGGAGGGAGCCGGTGGGCCGTCGCCGTCGTCGGTCGCGAGTTATAACTCGGTGACGCCGCGCGGGGCGAGGAGGAGGAGGAGGAGGAAGAGCCGCCGCAGGGTCCGAGGCAGAGCCGCCGAAGTGAGTAGGCCTCAGCCGCGGCCTTCCTTCGCTTCTCGGGCGGCGCTGAGGTGAAAGGCCGTTTTCTCCTCAGGGAAGGGGGAGCGCGGAGTCTGCGCAGGCGCAGTGCACCGGGGGTGTGGGACGCCGCCTTGCTCGTCGCCCGGGGTCGTGAGAATCCTGCTCCTCCGGCTTTTCCTTCGGCCCAGCCTTGCCGGAGCGCCCGGCGAGGCTCCCTCGGCCGTTCGCCGGCCCCCTGGATCCGCCCTCCGCGTTGAGATTGGACTCCCCCGGCCCTTGAATGGGCCTCCTGCCTCCCTCTCGGCCCGTCGCAGCCGGATCCGCCCCGCTGAGAAGGTGGCTCCCCTTTGCCCGAGCCGTATTTGGGGGTGAGGGTGGGGGGCTGCCCGGCCTTCTGCTTCGGGAAAAAAAAAAGGTTTGGGCGACCGTGGGGAGTTTCTAAAGCCTGAGCTTGGCGTGTGTGTATGGGGGGGGGGGGCTAGGCCAGTGTTGCTCAACCTTGACCATTTTAAGGCATGTGGACTTCAACTCCCAGAATTCCACAGCCAGCCTTGCTGGCTGTGGAATTCTGGGAGTTGAAGTCCACATGCCTTAAAATGGTCAAAGGTTGAGCAACACTGGCCTAGGCAGAGAAGCGGGCAGGTTACTTCCTGGTTTGTGGTTGCTGCTTACTGAAAGGGTTGAGTGGCCTGATTGGGGGCAGGATCCGCCTTGTCTCACCCCCCCCACCCCACAATAGCTGGTCTTAAAGAGGCCCCTGGCTTGGATCTGGCTTGGTGCTGGTGGGTGACAATAGCGATCTACAGAGGGTTATGTGGCTTGCAGGGCCTGGGAATCGGGAAACGGATAGTACGCTTAGGATCAGCCATGAATGTTATTAACAAAAAGGGAATGCAGTACTCCTAGCTCAGGCTTGGAATGTGCAGTCCTTGGTGCTCTCTGAGCTTGGTGGTTTTCTTGCAGACGTTTGGTGACCCAGCTAGGTAGCATCATCAGGGTTAGAAAGGGTTTGTGGAGAGGAGGAGGGGGGAGATGGGAGGAGGAGGAGGAGGAGGACTGAAGGGTCCTTGGTGCTCTCTGCGTTTGGTGGTTTTCTTGCAGATGTTTCATGACCTGACTAGGTAGCATCATCAGTGCTAGAAGGGAGTGAGGTGTGTGGAGAGGAGGAGGAGGAATGTGGGGTCCATGGTGCTCTCTGAGCTTGGTTGTTTTCTTGCAGACATTTTATGACCCAACTAGGTAACCTCATCAGTGCTAGAAGGGAGGAGGAGGCCTTGTTGCTCTTTGAACTTGGTTGTTTTCTTTCAGTCATTTGATGACCCAACTAGGTAACATCTTCAGTGCGAGAAGGAAGTAGGGTTTGTTCTCTGTTTATATACAAGAGGTTTGCCTGGTCAGCAAATTTATATACAAGTATTTAGCCCTTCCATGCCTGGGGGATATCAAGTTGGAAAACCATTTTGACCATATCAAGTTGGAAAATCATTTTGACCAATACAAGAGAATCTTTGTAGATCAGAGTTGAACTATGGGGTCCTTGGTGCTCTCTAAGCTTGGTGGTTTTCTTACAGACGTTTCATGATCCAACTAGGGAATGTCATCAGTGCTAGAAGGGATTTGATCCTTGTTTATGCAGATCAAGATACTTGACTTAAGACCTCAATTGAGCCCAAACTTTCTGTTGCTAAGTGAGACATTTGTTAAGTGAGTTTTGCTCCATTTTACGACCTTTCTTGCCACAATTGTTAAGTTAATAACTGCAGTTGTTAAGATAGTAACACGGTTGTTAATTGAATCTGGCTTCCCTATTGATTTTGCTTATCAGAAGGTCGCAAAAGGGGATCACCTCAGGACACTGCGACCATCATAAATATGAGTCAGTTGCCAAGCATCTGAATTTTGATTACCTGATCATGGCGATGCTGGAACGTCCATAAGTGTGAAAAATGGTCTTAAGTCACTTTTTTCACTGCTGTTGTAACTTCAAATGGCCACTAAATGAACTCTTGTAAGTCGAGGACTACCTGTACTGTATATAAACAGAGAACAAAGCCTATTCTCTTCTAGCATTGATGATGTTACTTAGTTGGGCACTGAAAGAGTTGTAAGAAAATAACCAAGCTCAGAGAGCATCAAGTAGTGTTATAGTCTGAAATTTTACTTATTAAGCCACATAGTTTGGACTAGATGAATCCGGGTTTTATATTGATTACATTCTGTGATTGGTATGCCTGTCTGTGGGTTATAAGTAAGGTGCTATCTGCTCGACAATTGAGTGCCCTTTCCCCCCACTCTAAAAAATTCAGTACTTTAGTATAACTTCTGCAAGAATAAACATGTTTTTGTTGTGGTAGCTACTAGGCCTGTGTGTCTGCAGAAATAACATTCATGTTTTTGCTGAGGTCTTGAATAATACAATAACAATCTTTTTGTGTGTATGGCTATACATTCATATTTACTTGGTCAGTTGTGATACCCCCCCCCAATATACTTTATATATAGGAAGGGCTCTATAAATATTTGTACATGCTTTTACCTGTGAGCCGCCCTGAGTCCCTCGGGAGAAGGGCGGGGTATAAATTAGAGTAATAAATAAATTAGAGTAATAATAAATAAATTGAAGGATAGAAAACTTATTTTCATAGTAAGGTTACTACTTCTTTGTTCTTGAATGAAATCTCTTCATCATGCCAGGGTCCGGTGGCTTAATTGTAGTCCTATCTTTGAGGACAGGAAGGCCTGGAGGAACGTCGTCCATGGGGTCGCGATGGCTGGACACGACTTCGCAACTAACAACAACATTCTATACAATAATGAAAAACTGGGTTTTAATTAGAGGTTAGCCCTTTCTGAATTGGGAAGATTACTCTTCACCATTCTTAAATAAATACAAGCTTCCTGTTATCTTGGAAGTATTTTGCTAGACAAAACTGGTCTTTTTTCCTTGAAATAATCACAACTGGTATAAGGGTATGCATCTGTCTCACACACTGAGATTCTGATCTATAACCAGTAGAGATGGAAAACTCTTGTATAATTTGTATAGTGTGGGTTATAAGGGTAGTTAATTGCATATTCATATATTGTACTCTTCTTTTTTCTTACTGTTTTGGGATGGGCACCAGTAAGGAACTGGATTCAGTCAGTCACTGCTGATCATTGAGTCACCTAATTTTGTTTTATGAATCATCATTGATTAATTTGGTGTTCTACTCTTCACGGACTTGGGGGTTACGTTTTCACACAGAATTACCTGTTAAATATATTTTATGCCTATTTTTGTTTAAATGTTGTATTGACTAAGGAAATTTAAAATGTTATGGGTTTTTTGGGGGAAAAAAATGACAGGTACTACACAGCCTACAACTACGGCAGCATTTAAGCCTAATGATCCTTGTGATGTAAAATGGGTATGAAGATGGAGAACTTTCAGTTTGGGTTTGCAGAAGACAACTGGGCAAACAAAGAGGACCAAAGCATTCATTTTCAAAAGATTCTTGCAAAATAAACAATTAATACAGGACAGTTAACATACAGTATTCCATGAAATATTGGAAGAATATAGGAAATGTTGACCTTAAAAACTGGCATAATAAATACCTTGAATGCATAAAGATGAATTCTGTTGTTTAAATTCAGAGGTGAAAAATCTTGCTGTCTTGTGACAGATTTCAGGAACTGTCATGAAAGCTTTTAAATGTTATAATTTATCTGTGGAATGATCCTTGGAAAAGTTAGAAATTAGAGGGGGATATTCATATTATAATATAATTATAATATAATATGAATATTGGAATATGAATAGTACATTCCTTTCGACGTATGTCTGACTGATTTTATTCAGTCCTTCAGTTATTGAGTAGCTGCAGTTAAGATATTTAAATTTTCCTAAACAACTTGAGCATGAACACTTTTTATAGTACCATACATTATTTCCAATGTAGAAGTGTCTGCATTAACATGCTTCAGTTCCATTTGACTTTTCTGGTTTACATTGCTGCTCACACGTTTATATATTTTCTGAATAAATAAATATGCTGCCTGCCCTCTTAATTATTTTGGACACCCCATAGATAAAAACATCTATATAAATAAGTGTGCTTTTAGGTTTCTGCTAAAGTTTTATTTGCTTGAAACTGCCCTTTAAGCCATAGTCCACAAACGTATATGTAATACAATATGTTTAAAGTACAGGTAGTTTTGGACTTATAACTATATTTGGGATTTACAATTACATTTGGGACCAGAATGCCAGTTGTTGAGTGAAGCAGTTGTTAAGCGAGATGTCACATGACTGACTGACTGACCAGTTATCACAAGTCTGGCATTCCTCATTACAGTTTTTAAGTAATCTTGCATATTATTAAGCAGACAGATACTCAGGTACGGAATGGGAATTGCCTCAGGGAAGTGGGGGAGACCTGCCACAGACAATTTTGGAATGTCTCTCCAAGCTGAAAATCTTCCCTGTTGAAAACAGGATTTTCAGCCTTTGACAAGAGAGCTGCTTTTGTGTGGTCTACACTGGAACTTCAGTGTAGACCACTTAGTGGTAGACCACTCAGTGTAGACCACTCAGACATCCTGCACTCCTTATTTATTGTGCTGCCTTTCTGTTCAGCAGCTTAAAATGCTACTTGGATTTCAACTCCCTCTGGCCTCTGTGGCTAGCTGAATTCCCTGCTAAAGGGAATTCAGCTCTACACCTGCTTGGATTTCAGCAGAAAACTCTTCAGCCAGAGCTGAAAGAGGCCTTTGACAAAATCCAATACAGGCACAGAGTTCTTTCAACCAGCCCCCAGAGGCAAGAGGGAGTCCTCTCTGCAGGCAGCAGCTGCTTGCAACTTTTCCTGCCTGCTTCCCCTATGACTTTCTGGGGAAACCTGGCAGAGAAAATTGCAAAACGTGATCACATGATTGCAGGGCACTTGGCTACCTATGGCAAGTGGGAATAGATTGCCAAGCACTCGGATCACAATCATGAGGTGTTTGTGTGTAAT